ATGCATTGATAATTCTTTTGTTTAAAAGTCTTTTTAACGAGTGCCCGCGTTAGAACTCGCCTTGTTGCTACTTGCCGGACTAAGGAGGTAATCAATAAGAAAAGAATTATCAACATAGATTTAGTGTGATACTATCTAATAGGCTAGTGTCGATTGGTGCGAAGTAATAACTAAGTCAAACATCGATTATGATGTCTAATATGAGGTAAAGGTAAGGGTTAGTAAATTATACACACGTAGCCGGACCAAGGTGCGGGGTGAAATTCTCTAGATGCCGGATCAAGGATTTAGAGATACCTAACTTATCACTTTGCATGTAGTACACTAGGAAAAGATTGCTATTACTAGGATTACTGCGTTATGAGTTTGTGGGAAACACGTATATCCTAGTTATTTCTCTCATCTTGATAACAACCAAAATTGAGTTTTGATTACTAATTACTTATTAAATTCTTCCATTTTGTTTCACAAAAACCCCCCTTTTTATTACTTGTTTCTGGAAGTAATTTGACTAATCGAATATAATTGTTGGTTAAATTAAAGTCTAAACCATTTTCCTCGTAGGATCGACCCCAACCTACAAGTTGGGTTCTTTACTTGATAACGACCGCTTATGCTTCTTTAGGGAGGTGTAATTTGAGTGTATCTCAACCCAACATTAATTCATTCGATAGCTCATAGATTCAAAGATGAGAATAGTCTTTCATCTAAGAACCCCATTATCGTTCATTAGTGCAAGATCGAGAATATCCTTTCAATCAACACATCATTAGCATTCAATAGAGTACAATTGAGAATAGCTTTTCAATAGACTCAACATTCATTAACATTATCCTTAACTCATTCATTTATTCATTCATGAAAAGGCTACCAACATTAGATCTACCAATTCAAGACATTAAGAAATTAAGACATTAAGTCAAGATATACTCATCATAGAAGAAAAGGATGCCTAAGCCTACTAATTCAAAATATGTCATTCAACATTACCTTATAGAACCCTTCACATTCCATCATCAACATTCATGAGTGTTAATAGAGAGATAACATTCAATGCTAACACAATTAGCTTTTAGACAAAATCATAATTCATTCATTGAGATCACACACATTCTTCACATCACATTCATATATACAACATCATGATAATACTTCAATTCCTCACACTATGCCTTCAAGGCCATGATCACAATGTACATAGTAAGTAAACACCTCCACCTTTCAAGTGGATCAACCATTCAAGCACAATTCTACTTTAACATGAGAATAGGTCAAACTTGCCCTTTCAAGGCTATGATAACAACTCTTCAATTCATCAAAAATTCACCATAATTAGACATATATAATGATACAAATCAATAATCTAAATAAATCTACACATAAATCCATCATCATTCATTCATAATCAACAAACCCACTTCATAAGGCCAAATTTAGGAATTGAGAGAAATCATAAAGGCACAATTTAGGAATTGAGAGAAATCATGGGTTCATGGAGTAAATATCATCTTAAATCATCAATTATACATAAATATAATCATAGTTTATCATTTGAAAACATTTGATGCAAGCACCCATGAGATTGAGTGAAATCTAGGTTTTTGAGAAACTTGAAGACTTTGAAAACTTCTTTAAAATTGACTCTAGGGTGAAAGCTAACCCAAGATAAAGGATCACCATACCTTATACTAGAATAATACCACGAAATTGAATAAGAAACACCTTGAAATCCCAACCCTAGCTTGATCTTGACCTTGATCTCCAATGGAGTTTCTAGAGAGAACTTTTTAGGAGGGAAGGGTTTTGATTTAGGGAAAAGTGAATAATGAAATCTAAAATACCATTTTAATGTTTTAATACTCTTAAAATACCTTAAAACACTTAAAATAATCGTCCATATATTAATTAGGACTTGGGGTGAATTTACCAACTCACCCCTAGCTTGGCTGAGACTGCACCAGAAAAACAGTGCCCATTCACGCCCTGGACTCACGGACCGTGAATCCATTCACGGACCGTGCTACTGGTCCATGGTCTGGGTCTGCAAGTTGGTTTTAGGCCTCTTGACCTATAGAGGCCATCCACGGTGCGTGGATGGACCTATGGGGCGTGAACTCCATCCGTAGGTCACTAAGTTTTGGCCAAGTTGATGGCTTCCTTGGGGTTTAGACTTAGGGTACTCCTCAAGGACCCTTAGGGTGGTCCTTGGGGAGTTGTGCCTTGACGTCTAACCCCTAAACACCTCAACCATGGCTCGGGACAGCATAAAACACCATCAAAACTCAAGACGAACACAAACGCACACACATTAGGCTCTAGTTTCACTAGTTCATTTTTAGGGTCGTTACAATTCGTTGGGATTTGGTCCTGCTTGATTAGAATATGTATTATGAGGAGGAGCCTGTAGCTATTTTAGATAGGGAGGTCCGCAAAATGAGGTCAAGGAGATTGCATCTATCAAGGTTCAATGGAAAAATTGGTCAGTTGAACGACCCTTTTGGTCGTTTTGAGTACTAGAGCTTTTTATTGCATAAAATACTTTCCGATAGATTTTAAATGAGTATTTTTGGACTATTCGTGACTACAATTATGAAATTAGTGGGGTAGTTTTAATAATTAATTTAGTTGGTGGTTAAAGAAGATAACATTAGAATTAATAATGGATCACTTTCACCACTTTTATAATTTTGAAGCTATACAATTAGGGTATAACTGATCAGTAGAAAAGAAGAAATTTAAAAAAAGAGCCGCACAATTGTCAAGAACAAATTGAAGAAGCGCTTCAGGTGAGCAAAGTTTTTTTTTTAGCTTTCAATATTAGAGTGTTGCTCATAAAAATAGATTATTATATTGGTATGTATTTAAGAAGAAGGAGGTGAATTGTTATCCCTTTTTATAACCACACGAATTTGGTTGGAAAATTGAAAAGTGTTAAGTTGAGGACGTGATGATTGGCCAAAATATAAGTAGAAACAATTAATAGTTGAAAGATTAGGCTACAGGGAAGGTTGTATATGTTATATATGATATGTGTGTGGAATTAGACGGTAACTGTTGTATATAGATTTGGTGCAGTTATTGTTCAAAGCTCATATATTCTGCTAGTTGCCGAAAGGAGAATGTGCAAACAAAATTTTGGGGGTGAGAGCAATAGTTGAAAAATTGCCATTTGTTGATGTGGATAATTTGCAGTAGTTAAGGAGTTGTACAGAAAAGGCAGATTTTCTTTTCTTTCTATTTTTGTGGATCTTTGCCATTTAAGCTTTTGAATATTACTTGGGCAATGTCTTGTTTCAATTGGAGTAATGATTAGCCAATCATTGGCTAATGATGTGATAAATTGGGTTTGTAGTATATGATAAATTATGTTAGAGTTGTTGCCACTGGTTTTCGAAACCAGTGGCTTACTCTTGAATTTTATTACATGCCTATCATCTTATAAATTGAGTTTTAGTATATTGAGATAGGTAATTAAATATTAGGTGTATCGAATTATTTAAATTCCATTAAAGTTATGTTAATTGGAGGAATTAAGACCTACCCTTAGGTTTGAACTTTAGTAAATTGATTATATAATTAGGTGAGTTTTGGGTCTAGGCTAGACATAGAATAATATGAGTGTTTATAGACTCGTTAACTTACAAATTTGCATATATACTTGATAGATTGGAAAGGTTCAGAGGCATGAGGAAAGAAAATGCATTGGAGAAGTAGTTTGCTTGACTTCGATTCTTCGGTGGAGGTAGGTTATGGTTTATTCTATTTGATAGATATACTCTTAATAGTGATTGC